GATTAGATCCTCTAATGCATCAAAACATTCGAGTATAGCAACAGTAACATAAGAACATAACACAAAATTATCCATTATAAGATTCATTCTCAAACACATCAAAACCTACATCACCAAATTCATCGTAAGCTATTATTGTAAATAATCCTCATTTTCCATAATCCTATTTCATCTCTAAATTGGCTTGAAGGGAGATATATACCTATGTCAAAGATCTTGAAACCTATCACACTAACACATGCTTTTGGTTAAGCAAATTTAAAACTTACGGACACATGAACTAATAAACAAACACCAATTAAAGCTTCGAATATTGAGAGACATGGTCTATATGTGTTGAAACAAAAGTGAAAAATAAATTAGATATGATTTATCAACCTACTATTATTGTCTACTATTAGATGATTTACAAGAGTATTGTTATTATATATGTTTGTTATTATATCTATTGTCTTGGATTCGAGTTAGTACTTATACCTTTTTCATCCTTCTAATCCTTCTTTGCTAGTTGCGTTCTTGAGTTGCAACATCAAATAACTTCTTGCCTTAGGTTGCAATGCTCTATGTTTACTTTGGGTTGTAGTGTTCTATATCTTTTAGTATTTCTACTTATTCGTTGCAATGTTCCCACATCCCTTTTATTTCCGGCTTATACTCAAGTCGTTTGAATTAGTTACTTTCTTATTAGTTTTTTATTTTAAATAGAATTTGACTTCTCATAATATTCTTTGCCCATGATGCAATTCTATTTGAAATTCTATTTATTATTATTTTTTTATCTTTCGGTATAAAGCTCTTTTGAGTTTTTTTAGATAGGATTGTTTTATAGGCTTAATATCAAGCGCACTAGTTACTACTAATGGCCTATAGCATGGGTTTTGTGACCAAAGTCCCATTGGGTCTTCTTTGATTTATTTGGTCGATGGACCTTAATTAAATTTGGATTTAATAGTTACATAAAAAATATTCATTCATATAGAGACTTTACTGCATGCTAAGATTTTAGAAGTAAAATTATTTTCATGAAAACATTATTTTTTCATAATTGATATAAATTTGATGGTTAATTAACTTAATGATTTTTCCTTTGATTTACCATATTAATTTTAGATAGATTTGTTTTCTTTAAATTCATATTAGTTTCATTTAATATAGGATTAAACTTGATAACTAACAATTTTAATAAATAATAATAATAATAAATATACTCATCCATTCTTATATAATACTCAAAGTCTCAAATTTTTCTTTAAATTTTCAATTGCATCCCATCTACTTTGAAAATTTTTGAAATATTCAATATGTTCTTCTAATTAATTTTTCTTGCCAATTTTTTTTTTTTTTATCGAAAAGCCCTTTACTAAAATATGAAGAAAAAAGAAAAAAAAACACTTAAAATCACCTAACCTATATGTTCTATTTTTGAAATCTTTATTATTTTATTTTATTTATTTTTATTTTTATTTTTTTCATTTTAATCGGAGGTATTTCAATAAAAAAATTATTTTTCAAAAAATTGATCGGAAGGATAAATTGAATATTTCAAACACTTTTAGGAATAGCAATATAAGAATATATGAAAATTTTAGAATATTATATAAGGACATATAGGTAATTATCCAAAAAGAAGTATTTTAGAAAAAAATGCTATATGACATAACAATTAATAATTTTTTAAAACCATGTAACAAGTCAAAATGTTTTAAGATAAAAGGAATATGTTTTTTATTTAAAAAATAATAAATTGTTTAGTATAGTAGTGATTGGGGTGAGTTTTTCATAATTCAAAGTTATAACATGGAGTAACTCTACTCTTGACTATATGTCCTATTTTGTGGGATACAAACATTCTCTCGCTGGATTCTTACTACTATCGGGATCAAACTTTTATGCGAGAGTCCAATAAAAAGTACTTTCTAGAATTGTGGTGTTTATTTAGGCCTAATGTGTCAAAATTTTGATCAATTTTAAAAAGCATAAATTTATTACAAGTCCGATATAGGATTAAAAGACGAGTGAGACTCGGACATGTATTAATCAAGCTTCTTCTTTACGACTTCGTAAGAGGCCATTTAATGCAAGTAAACTAAGAAACTTTGGTCCAATAGTACATCCAAATTCTAATATGTAGGAATGATAATCACAAGACCCTCTTTAAACCAATTGGACACTACTAAAAACTAAGGTAGGCTTGAGCGACATTTAACACCTTTTGGTTTGGGTGTAGAGTACCGGTGGCAATCATAAGAATTATGAAATTTATCAACATTAGCTAAGAAAATGGGTTCTGAACTTTTTCAATGAACCATAAGATTTGTTTGGAACTCTTTATTATATCTTGACAATTGACCACAAAGGTTTATTTAAAAGAAACCTTGAAAATTGTATATGATCGGATCCTCTAATGCATCAAAACATTCGGGTGTAGAAACAATAACATGAGGAGACAACACAACATTATCCATTTTGAATTAGGTTCATTCTCAAACACATCAAAACCTACACCACCAAATTCATCACAAGCTATTACTATAAACAATCCTCATTTGCCGAATCCTATTTCATCTCTAGAGTGGCTTGAAGGGAGAAATAAAACCTATGTTAAAGATCTTGAAACCTACCACATTGATACATGCTTTTGATCAAGCAAATTGAAAACTCATAGACTCGTGAGCTAATAAACAAACACCAATTGAAACTACGAATATTGAGAGACATGATATGCTATGTTGCAAAAAAATGAAAATCAAACCGGAGATGTAACCATCTACCGATTACTACTTATAAATTATAATCTACTATGTTTCAAGTGTTGAAACAATTTGTAAGATAATACCGATAATTGGTAAGAGTATTGTTATTGTATATGTTTCGTTGTTGTGTCTATTTGTCTAGTTTCAATTAGTCTTTATATCTTTTACGTCCTTCTTTACTCGGTCATGTTCTTGATTTACAATGTCTCTTAACATCTTGCCTTGAGTTGGAATGCTCTATGTTTCTTTTAGGTTGTAATGCTTTATGTTTTCTAGTATTTTTACTCATTCGTTACAATGTTTCCACATCCTTCTTATTTATGATTTATGCTCTAGTCGTTCGAATTAGTTACTTCCTTGTTAGTATTTCATTTTGAATAGAATTTGACTTTTCACATCCTTTTCTCACGATGCAACTCGATTGAAATTATATTTAGTCTTTTTATCTTTCAAGTATACAGACTCTTTTGAGTTTTTTTTTTTAATTTATTTTTTCGGATGGGTTGTTTTATGGGCTTAATATCGAGTGCACTAGTTGCTTTTAATGGCCTATAGCATAGGTTTTGTTACCAAAGTCCCATTGGGTCTTCTTTAATTTGTTTGGTCGCTAGACTCTAATCAAATTTGGATGTAATAATTACATAAAAAAATATTTATTTTTGTAGGGACTTTGCTGCATGCTAAAATTTTAGGATTAAAATTATTTTCATGAATACATTAATTTTCCATAATTGATTTAAATTTGATGGTTAATTAACTTAATGATTTTTCCTACAATTTACTACCTTAATTTTAGATAGATTTTCTCTTTAATTAATATTAGTTCCATGTAATATAGGATTAAATTTGATAACTAACAATTTTAACAAAAATAAATAAATAACAAACATACCTATTTGTCCTTATATAATACTCAAAGTTTCACATGTCTTTAAATTTACAATTGTATCTCATCTATCCTTGAAATTTCTTGAAATGTTCAATCTATTCTTTTGATCAATTTTTTCTGCAATGTTTTTTGTTTTATTGAAATGCCCTTTACTAAAATGTAAAAAATAAATAAATAGATAAATAAAATAAAATAAACACTTAAAGTCACCTAACCTACATGTTTCATTTTTGAAGTCTTTAGAATTGATTTTTTTTTTTGAAAGGCATTTTGATAAGAAAAAAAATTATTTGGTTGAAAAATTGATCGAAAGAATAGATTGAATATTTCAAACACTTTCGAGAATAAATAATATGCAATTAAAAAAAATGAGTAGTTTATTTTTTGAAAAAAAGGTATTTTAGAAAAATATGAATAGAAAAATGCTATATAACATAACAAACAATAATTTTTTTAAAATTGTGTAAAAAGGAAAAATGAAATTTTTTTTAAAGATATATGGAATATGTTTTTTTTTTTAAATAATAAATTGTTTAGTATAGTAATGATTGGGATGAATTTTTCATATTTCGAAGTCATGAGGACATGGAGCAATGCTACTCTTTACCACAGATGTCCTAAGTTGTGGGATACTGACGTTTTCAACTAGATTCTTACTACTATCAGGATCAAACTTCCATTCTAGAGCCCAATAAAAGTATTGTCTTGAAGTGTGGTGTTTTGGGCCAAAATATCAAAATTTAGATAAATTTTAAAATGCATAGATTCAGACTCAGACATGTATTAGTCAGGCCTCTTCTTCACAACTTCTTAAGAGGCCAGTTAATGCAGGTAAACTAAGAAACCGAGGTGGGATTACGCAATATTTTGCAAAGAATAAAACAACTTTGACACTATTAGGAACGATAATCATAAGGCCCTCCTTAAACAAATTGGACACTATTAAAAACTGAGTTGGGATTAAACAATATTCTTCACCTTTAGGTTTAGGCACGGAATACTAGTGGTAATCATCAAGATTATGAAATTTATACAACATCAGCTAAGAAAATGGGTTCCAAACTTTTCCAGTTAACCATGAGGTTTGTTTGGAACTCTTCATTGTATCTTGACAACTAACCGCAAAGGTTTGTTTGAAAAGAAAGCTTTAAAATTGTACATGATCAGATCATCTACTGCATCAAAACATTCAGGCGTAGAAGCAGCAACATGAGGAGACAACACAACATTATCCATTGCGAATCAGGTTCATTCTCAAACACATCAAAACCTGCACCACCAAATTCACCGCAAACTAAAATTTTCACCAACTCCCACTCATCAACAATTGCTCCACGACCAACATCAATCATCAAAACCTATGCAGCCATGACATCTTTGTCCACAATGTGGTGAGTTTCATCAGTCAATGCGCACCAAAGAATTAGAGCATCACCATTCGCAGCAGGGTCACGGACGTCTGAATAGTAAGGAAACGTGACAGAAGGCTTCTTCTTCCTCGAGCGGTAGACCATGCTACAGCCAAAAGGCCCAAGCCTTTTCGCAACTTCAGAATTAATATTTCCCAGCCCCCCTAACTGCAATCATGAGAATGCCAGTTTTACTCCTATTTCAATAAGATCACATTTAAAAGCATCACATATCTATCAATCATATAGCAGCCGGAAAAACCAAACCTTGACCGTTAAAAATCACTTTAAAGTTTATCATTTTGCACTTAAAGAAAGACAACCCCAAATCATCAATGTACTTATAGCTTAATGTCACTCTTGCTTTATCCAGGTTCGAGTACCTGCTTTAATAATCAGAACCATACAACAAAACCAAACTAATTGCTCCACATAAATGAAAATACAGAATTGTATTGAAACTCTTAAGAAAGAGAGAAGAGTAATGTTAATTTAGCCCAAAGACTCTTCTTGAAATCACTTCTCGAAAAAAAAATAATCATTAAATTTGTGGGAATCATTGGTGGAACATAGATCATTAGACATTACAACCAAGCGGGTAATCATCAATAAGAGGCCACAACCCAGCCTGAAGAGACGATCGGCAGCAGACACTCTTCTAAGAACATCAATCAGCAAACCAACAACATAATCAGCAACGTCCTCACAAAACGCTGACCCAGCATTAGTAACACAAATCCCTCTGAGTTGGTACTCAGTTAAGTCAATGTGGTCAACGCCAACACTGGAACCAACAATGATTTGGAGAGAAGGGAGTAGAGAGAGCAAGTCCTTGGATATGGGAGCTGGGTCCACGCAAAGCAAGGCTCGCATGGGGTGCGCTTTTTGGATAAGGAATATGCGAGTTGGGACTCGGGGAAAGTATGGCGGGTCTAAGAGGTGAAAGGGTGACTCGAGATTGTGTCTGAACGGGAAATCGAAGGAGGGACGACGGTAGACTAGGACTAATGGAAGGTCTTGGTGTTTTTGTTTCTGAGTTTTGTTGATGCTCATTGGAGCTAGCTGGAGTTGGGTTGTTGAGGTTCTTGGATTTGCAGCTCTTGGGAGGGAATGGTTGGCATTTATGGGGTGCGACAACACGCTTAAAGAAAAGGAGGATTCTTTGCTTAGGAAAAACCTCTTCGATCGGAGGGAAATGCTCATTGGAACTTAGCCTCAATTGTGTCTGAACTCATGCTCAATTGTTTCCTAAACTTATAAATATTTCCTATATTTTCCAATTACATCCTTTTGTTAATTTCTTTCGAAAGCTGAAGTATAGACTAAAACGACATTGATTTGAAGAAAATTTGAGAAAATAAATAAATAATGAACTCTAACGTTTTCCGTCTAATATTGTATATTTATATACTCCAACAGGGTAAATTTGAAGAAAATAGAACGAATAAATGTATTTACATGAATAGATGTCAATATTAATAACATATATAAATCAAGGATACTTGAGAGCTTTTATATGATTCAAGATCATTAAAATATTTCAGGTTTTTGTTTTCTGTATCTTAATAATATATGCCTATCAATACATGTGAAACCATTACAAGACATATATAATTGCATATCCTATCGTTCAATCAGTACTGAAAGACTGATTGCAAAGGTTTATTTGAAAAGAACGCTTTCAAGTTTGTGAAAACTAGGTCATATACTGCTTCAAATGATTCTGGGGTGAAAATAGCACGGTGTGGAGACAACACGACATTGTCCAGCTCAAGTAGCTCTCTGGGCACATCAGGCTCATTCTCAAACACATCAAGACCTGCACCTCCGATATCTCCTCTCAACAAAAACTGCACTAATTCCTTTTCATCAATAAGACCACCACGTCCAACGTTAATGATCACCCCTTTCTTTCCCAACGCTGTCATCACATCCTTGTTAATCATATGATGAGTTTGTTCCGTCAGTGAAGAACAAAGAATGAGAGCATCACTGTCTGCTGCAATGCCAAGGACATTGGCATAGTAAGAAAATGGAACAGATGGCTTCTTCTTTCGCGAATTGTAGGCGATGCAACAACCAAAAGCCTCGAGTCTTTTTGCAACTTCAAATCCAATACTTCCAAGTCCAACTATCCCAATTCGTTTCCCCCTAACTGCAATTACGTACATTTATGTTGTTTAAGAAACAATTTGCTAATAATGTGCTCCATCAAATCCAAAAGTCATACAGCAAAAGAAAATGAAGCAGTGCTGCACATGCATGTATACACAAGTCAACAAATTAAGGCAGTGATCCTTGATCTTGTCTAATTAGATACCGCAAATAAAATAATTAAGTCATTTCCAGCATAAAAAGTATTATACGCTAAACCCTGCATCTAAAATCAAAACCTCCATAGTACTTCCACTACTCAGATAGGCATAGACAAGGCTGGGGAGCAGTTTTTCTTTTTTTTTTTTTAACACATTGCATCCATATTTGTGAGCATCGCTTCCCTTTTCAGACCAATATCAGACTCAATATATCTATTAGGCAGAATTAAGTCATATTTCTTCACCAACATATAATAGTTCTAATTATTATCATCTGCAAAAATCAAGATTTGAGTTCTCAGAATAAAAATATTTTAAAAGCATCACTCTATTACCCTCCTCCTCCTTTTGCTTTAATTAAATTTAGCATTTTGGTCAAGCTCTGTTTCCTTCGCAATAGACTTAGCAGTCATGAAGCAGAGGCATGCTTCCCGTGAGATTTAGAAACCGTAACTCTACCAATTCTAAACCAACTTCAACACAGCATACGAGTTCAATCAAAAAACGAATCTAAAGCAAACTAGATATATAGAGAAACAAGAAAGAAAGAACCTTGAATCCTAGTGGATAATCTCCCTTAACAGGCCACAAGCCGGCATGAAGGAATCGGTCTGCAGCTGATATTCTACGCCAAACGTCAATCAACAACGCCACCGCATAGTCTGCAGCATCCTCTGCAAATGCGGTACTAGCATTAGTCATAATAATTCCTCGACGGCGACATTCCTGTAGATCGATGTGGTCAACGCCAGCACTAGTTGCAACGATGAGCTCTAAAGAAGGAAGGAGATTGAGAGTTTCTGCGGTGATGGGAGTGTAGCCCACACAGATGAGAGCTCTAACAGGTTGTGCATGGCTGGACAGGAAGGAGCTAGCAGGTTCAGGTGAATCAGCTGGATCAAGGAGGTGGAAATGAGCCTGTAGGATGGCTTTCAGTGGCAAGTTGATTGATGGGAGACGATGCACGAGGACTAGAGGGAGGTCTTCATTTGACTTCAAGCATTCTTGATTTGCCTCTACCGCCATAACTGGCAAACCCTTGGGATTGATCTTACTTCTATTTGGTGCTTTCGTTTGTGCTGTCTCTCTCCAAATTAATTAACTCTCTTTGTTTTCACAACTAATCATTTAATCCTTTATTTTTTAATTATATCAATAACTTAAGTCTTTTCAGCAGTTAAATTAGTAATGAGATATTTTATATATATATATATATATATATATATATATATATTTTTTTTTTTCAAATTGCTTTTTTTTTTTTATGCTTTATTGTTTCCATTCACTTATTTTCTTTCTCTTTTCAGTCATAATGGTGATCTCTTTTTCAATTTCTTCGATCGGTTGAGGATAGAAAAGAGAAAAAGATCGCTATGATACTTGAGAAGAGAAAAAAAACATATATAAAAAAGATAATTTGAAGATTAAAAAAGATACGAGTAAGACGTTTCATCACCAATGTATTATGTATTATGTAATAGAAAATTAATGAAAAAATTCAATTATTGATGAAATTAAAATATGAAGGACTAAATGATTACTTTTTAAATGAAAGAAAAATCAATTAATTTTTAAAACAACAGAGACCGATTTATAATTTACACCTATCTATTTTATATTTAAAGGGTTTTTTTTTTCTAATATATTTCTAAATGTTTAATTGCTTTCAATATGTTTTTAAAAAGTTTTCATATTTTCAATATATTTGCCATGAAAGCTTAGCTTTCAAGTCCGACATTTATTTAAAAAAAAAAAATTGAGTATTAAAACTCATCAGTTAATTCTCTAATAGATAAAGATGCGAGAGGGTAACGTGAAAATGTGAAGCCTATTTTTATTGACTCGATGAGGGCCTTTAAATACAAAAGAAATCATAACCGACTTCTAAGAAAGTAGTTAAAATATTTAAATGATAAAATTAAACAAAACAAGAATAACGAGTGGTGAAGAAAAAGTAGCCATAGTAGTTGTTTGTGGATGAGGACCAGCGAATTTGTAGTAGTTACTTTTGGATGAGGATCAATTATTTCTTCAATATGCCCCCTCAAGGTAGAGGTTGTGTCAACAACGACTAGCTTGGACAGATGCTTGATGAAAAGCGGACTTGGAAGAGGCTTGGTCGGTGTATCCGCAACTTGATCTAGTTAACTAATTTTTGTTGGACTTGTCCTTGAACAAAGTGAAAATTAATTGTAATGTGTTTCATTTGACCATGAAAAGCTGGATTGTGACATAAATAAGTGAGTCCCATATTGTCACCGTAAATGATGGGTGTACTCGAAAGTGACACTTGAAGTTCCGATAGGAGATTCATTACCCATTTTGTTTCGACCAAAGCACTTGTCACTACTCGACATTCGACCTCCATAGAGGATCTTGCCACCGCATTTTGCTTTTTAGAAGACCAACCGATAGGATTGACACTATAATATAAGATGTATCTAGTGGTTGACGTGCGATCATTTGGATTGCCGACCTAATAAGAATCCGAATACATATAGAGAGCGAGATGTGAAATCATGTGGTAATTTTGAGCCTAAAAGACATGGTTTTCTTAAGATATCGGAAGAGGCATTTTATCGCTTTCCAGTTAGATTGCTTTGGAGAGTGCATGAACTCGTGATAATTTATTAAAAGTGAAGCATATATCCGTTCTAGTGAATGATAGATATTGCGGCTTACCAATAATGTTGTGATGGTTCTATAGTAAGGGCTTCACTGTCTAAGGTAAGAGTCGAACCCGAATTCATTGAGTAAAAACTCCTTTATCGTCATGCATGTTGGTATGATGCAAAATATCCAAGATGTAGTTGGTTTGATTAAGAAGTAGACCATCATGCTAGTGAATCACTTCAACGCCCAAAAAATATTAAGAGTACCCAAGTATCCGATAGAGAATCTGTTTGCTAAAGAAGCAATCACACGGCTACCGAGTGTTTTATTGGATGCTCGTGACAATTATGTCATCAACATACACTAAAATGTAGACAACATCACTAAAGGTGTGCATGATGAAGAGGGAATTGTCAAAAGTGGATCGGCGAAAACCCATCTCGTAGAAGAAATTGTTTTAACTCATTATACCGAGCTTTAGATGCTTGTTTCAAGCCATTTATTGCTTTTTTTAACTTGTAGACATGGTTTAGGAGACTTAGATTTTCAAACCTTGATAGTTATCAGATGAATACTTCCTCTTCCAAGTGTCTTTGGAGAAAGGCATTATTTACATCTAGTTGATGAATTGGCCATTACTTTTGAATTGTAAGGGATAAGACCAAGCGAATCGTTATGGGCTTGATAATGGTGCTGAACGTGGAGTGGTAGTCAATGCCCGGTCGTTGTGTGAACCCTTTTGCAACCAATCTTACCTTATACCTATCAATAGAACCATCGGATTTGTGTTTGATTCTAAACAACCATTTACGATCAATAAGATTTTTATTGGGATCACTTGGCACCAAGTCCCATGTCCGGTTATTCGACGAGCATCAAATTCAAATTTCATAACGGCTCTCCAGTGTGTATTTTTCTATCCTTGGTTGAAAGTTATAGGAGTGAATGGAACTAAAAAATAGGCTAGGTAATAAAAAAAATTTTGGTTTATGAATATTATGTTGAGATCGGGTGACCATTCGAGTGACTGTGGAATTGGGATTCGAGTGTTACAAAGAGGAAGGTATAGGTCGGTTGTTTTGGTCAGGTAAGGGTGATGGAATCATATGCGTGGCAGGGAGATGAGTAAGTAATGGCATGGTTAAAGGAGGCAAGCTGTTATTGGAGGTGGTGTGAATTTTAAACGAAGCAAATGTGTCCACTGGAGTTTGCATAATAGGAATAGGAGGAGGAATGGTAGGAGAAATACATGGGGTAAGGTTATTTGAAAAGTCTTTGTTATTAGATTTGACAGTTTGAGAGAAGATAATATCCCAGGATAAGTTTGAAAAGGTGTTTTTAATTTTTGAAAACATAGTTTGAAAAGGAAATGTATCTTCAAAAAATATGACATCCCTTGATAAATAAATTTTAAAAGAAGTTGGGTCAAAACATTGATGACAGTGATAAGTAAGAGAGAAGCCCAAATAAACACAAAGTGTAGAACGTGCTTGTAATTTATTTTGTGTATAAGGCTTAAGCTAGGGATAGCAAAGACACCCAAAAGTCCAAATGGAGCCATAATTGGGAGAGGTATTAAACAGAAGTTGATATGGGAATTGTTGTTGTATATTTGGAGTGGGCATACGATTGATTAAATATGTGGCTTGGTGACAAGCAAATGTCCAAAAATTGGATGGTAAGGATGCTTGGTGGAGCAATGTTTTGGCTGTTTCTATGATATGTCAGTGACAATGCACTCCAATTGCTACTCTTTGAGGTGTATATGTTGGTGAAATAAGATGGTCAATACTTTGTGAATTAAGAAAAGATTTGAGACCCTCAAATTCACCACCATCATTAATGTAAACAGATAGGATTTTAGTATTGAAATATTGTTCAATCAAAGGCTGTAAAATTTTTGAAAATGGTTTGAACCTCATTTTTAGTTTTGAGTGTATATAACTAGATATACTTGGTATATTGATCAACAAAAATGGCATAGTAAAATTCTTTGTCAATAGACGTGACAGGAGATGGTCCTCATAAATAACTGTAAAGAATTTGGAAAGGTTTATGACTTTGTAAGGTGTTGTTTGAAAAAGACAGCCTGTGGAATTTATTTGATAAGCAAGAATTACATGGAGTGAAATCATCTGACTTGCTAAATGGCAAAGAAAACTAATTTACAATGTAGTACAGAGTTCAAGAATTGGGATGTCCCAATCTGCGATGCCACAAGTGTAAAGGAAATTGTTTGGTGATGAGATTGGACTGAGGATTTTGGCATGGTAGATGATGTCCTAAAGGCCATATTTATAATCCCTCCTTATTCTGGCCGCACACTAGTGGAGCTCCCGTTTTCAAATCCTTCACAAAAAATTTAGAGGGAAAGAATTCAATGGATGTGTGATTATCAGTGCAAAACTTAGAGATAGAGATTAAATTTTATTTGATAGCAGGAGCACAGAGAGTATTAGAGAGGTAAAATCTAGAATTTGATGCACAAAGTTGAACACTACCAGTATGAGAGATGAGAATTGTTTTACAATCACCCATTGAGATTTCTTCAAGTCTGCTATAATCTTGGCTATTTATGAGGCCTTGTGAATCAGGTGTAATATGATGAGAAGCACCCGAGTCGACAATCCACGGGGTGGTAGTGATGGAATTTGAACCAGCAACATAATTAGCTTTGGCCTCCAGATGATTATGAGATTTGGATCTACATACCCGGGCAGTGTGACCAAAACGGTCACATAATTGACATCTTACTCATGATTGTGGTGGGAAATTGGGGTTGAATCCAGCATGGGTGCGAGTTAGAGTTGGTGATTGACGCCATGATTGAGGGGGGTTCCAACGTTTGTTGTTTTTGGAAGTGATGGTGGGAAAATGGTTCTTTTGAGCAACAGCAGCAGTGATGGTGGTTGTGCTCTTTTTAAGATCTTCATGTGTCAAAAAAAGCTTATGATCTAGAAGTTTATCATACAGTTCTTCATATGAAATGGGAGAGTCTCTAGCATGTATTGCAGCAAAAATTGCGTAAAATTATGGACCAAGACCACTTAGAATTTTGACAATGAGTTCGTCATTTGTAATGGATGCACCTGCAGTGGCTAGTTCATTTCCAAGAGATCGTTTTTCTCTAAGATAGTCTGTAATAGACTTGAAGTCTTTGAATATTTTGTTGAGGTGGTCATATAGACTAAAGTCCTGTGTCTGGGACCTATTGGAAAATGTTGTATGTAATGAATCCCATGCTTTCTTTGAGGTGGCAGCAGCGGCAATAGTTGTGGCAATGGTAGGATTTACTAATGCCATAAGTACATTTTGAATCAACCTGTCTTGACGAAACCATAGGCGATATTGAGGGTTCTCTGTCTCTCGGTTATTTGTGGTGATAGTTTGTGGTGGTGCAAGTTTGGACCCATCAAGATAACTATAAGTCATGGCCGTGCAGTAGCATTTCGAATTGAGCTTTCCAAGTGGTGAAGTGATGGCTGCCAAGCAGTTTGATTGGTAGTTGGGAGGCTGGGTTGAATTGGATAAGTTGACTGGAGTTATTTGTGACTGCCAAGTAGTCCATGACGTGTTGAAATTGTTGCAGGGAAGCGGGGGTGGTAAAAAAAGATTGGATCACTCCTTAAAGTTTTTGCAGAACTCTGATACCATAAAGATGTAGAGCATAATGTGAAAATGTGAAGCCTACTTTTATTGATTTGATGATGGCCTTTAAATACAAAAGAAATCATAATTGACTTCAAGAAAGCAGCTGAAATATTCAAATGATAAGATTAAACAAAACAAGAATAACAGTGGTGAAGGAAAAGTAACTGCAGTAGTTGCTTGTGGATGAGGACCAGCAACTGCAGTGGTTACTTATGGATGAGGATCAATTATTTCTCCAATAATAGAAGTTTAGTATTTTTTTTTTACTAGTATTAGTTTATCGATTAATTAAAAAAAAAACACCTAAATCAGTTTCATTTAGTGCTCATATATATATATATAAACATTGCAAATGAGGAGTTTTGATGAAAAAAAAATCTCATTAGCTTTTTCTGTTGAGTTTAAGATCCAAGGTATTTTAGATATATAATAACTTAGTTTAATCATATACAAGTCAACTGCCATAATTCTATTAATTTTGATGGAGGAAATCTAGCAAAATGATAGATTGGAACTCTAAAAATTATTTAGAGTAAATATATTTATTTGTTTTTATATAATACTCAAAGTTTCTTATACATTCCTAAGTCTTTAATTATATCTTATTTATTCCAAAAAATATTTAAAATGTTCAATTTATTATCTTAATCAATTTTTTTGATCGAAATGTTTTTGAGTGAAATACAAAATAATAATAATAAAATTTTAAAGATTTTAAAAATAAAACATGTAGGTTATGTGATTTTATATATTTATATATATTGGTTTAACAAAAAACTAGGATCGAAAAATTTAATCACAAAAACATATTGAACATTTTAAAATTTTTTAAAGACAAATAGAAATTAAAAATCTAAGGACGAGATAAGAGAATTTAATTATTATATAAAGACATAGACAAATTTACTCTCAACTTTTTTAAATACCGATTGAATGTAATCAAGCCTTAAGAATAGATTGGCCACAATTTTTAAACTATACAGATTGAATTTATTTATTTATTTGTCAAGGCAGGATCTTGTGCTGTATAAAAAGAAACCCACTACAGTTATGTACTTGCATTAAAAATGATAGCCCCATTACTTCCAAAACCCTGGGAAAGCATTATTAGATAAATGATATTAATTAATTGGTATTGCTTTCTTCAACGAGAACATTCTGATCAAGAGAAATTGCCTTATGTTGGCAGCTTCGAAAATGAAATTGCCACTCATGAGGAAAAAACCATTAGCATTCAAGGTTCTGAGATTTAAAACTTCACTTCAAAATTTTAAGGGCCCAAGCTCTTCGAAGGATGCTAAAAGTTTCCCACAAGAGTATATCAGGATTATATATATATATAGTCAAACTATTGTCGATATGTCCAGGCCAAAACCCACCAAATTCTCTTGTCGGCTACTTTCAGAAGTTATGTTTGCAGCAGACAATATGTGAACTAATTAAATAGTATGCATCACTAAATTGTTCCATCTACAAGTTCGAGAAAAGAACATAATACTTTCTTTACACTTTGTAGTCGTAAAAGAAAATCCTGTACTGTAAGCAGATGGTTAATATTATAGTTGCAAGATTTATTCAATATGGACAAGTGACATTAAAGGTTTATTTGAAAAGTAGGCCTTTAAGTTGGTTAGAATGAGCTGATGCACTGCGTCAAAGGAATCTGTTGTCACAGAATAACAATGTGGAGATAACACAACATTATCCAATGTAAATACCTCACTTGGCAAATTAGGTTCAGTTACCAATCTTTGCTTATAATTTTATTGGACCTTGAGTTAGCTCAACAAAACCAACAATTCATTTTAAGTTAGATCTAACGCTCGAAGACATCGTATGGCTCATGATTTGTTTTCTTAATCCGATCAAAACATTAGCGTTAACATAAAGCTCCAATTTAGAAAAAACTTCCCCATAAAATTTCTATATACGAGATATCGCAATAAAGTATATAATTGCTGAACCACAACCAAATTAAGGAACCATAAAGAAAAAACTACACCACCCTTGCTTCAGCCAGCTATGGCGATCATTGGCAAAACCTTCGCCGCATTTACGCAATTGAAATCTTCTCTTCATCTCGCCTCAATGCATTTTTTTATGTCATTCGATAATTTTTTATCATTCTCCTCTTTCCCATGTCAATTTTGACTAGATTTAATGGCTTCCAATGCTCTAAATCCGACCGAACAATAATCAATCATTTACGCACTCTTTATTACTTGATATTTTGACGTCTCCTTCTAGGATACTAATAAGTAGGAGTTAAGCTTCAGTTCTTCCAACTCTTTTAGTTATAGTTTCTTTTGTTCACCTACTTCATCCATTCTCATATTGCATTATTTGATTGCCCAAAACTTTTTATGTTCAATCTCCATCGAAAGATGACAAGTCTTCCCATAAACCAAGCAATAGGGAGCCGGACTGCGGGAGGTCCGCGAGTCAACCCGCAGGAGACATGCGAGCTTCCACGCCCAACATCCTTGAGGGGCTACGAGAGGACATGCATGGGGCATGCGAGTCAACCCGCAAGGGGCATGCGAGCGGGCGCGCACCAAAATTCCAATTCAAATTTAAATGAGAGTCAGCAATCAGGTTAATCTCGTTTACATCTACGTTTCTCTACACTAAAGCTTCCGTACCAACACCCATTTAGGCTGCGAAAAACAGTACAAATGTCATAAATATATGTAACAGCAGGCACATGACCATTAGTCGAACCTGCACCAGCAATATTGCCTTGCAGTAAACATTGCACAAGCTCCTTCTCATTGATGAGGGCGACATTGATTATCATTACATCCTTTCCTAATTATTGCCATCATGACATCTTTGTTGATCACGAGTCGAGTTTCTTCTGTCAGTGCACCGCAAAGGATGAGAATGTCACTGTTTTCAGGAAGGTAGCGGACATTAGAGTAGCAACGAAATGGAACTAAAGGCTTTGGCTTCCTTGAGGTCTAGGCAATGCTGTAGCCAAGGCTGAAGCTTTTTGCAACTTCAGTTCTTATTAGAGAGTAATATAAAATCATTCATAAAGTTTTATCTAACAATTTAAATTTTTGAATTTATATAGTTTTTTGACATGATATCAGAAATTTAACCGCTGAATAATCATGCGATTATCCAGTAACTCGTAGCCTTAGAATCCCAATCTGCTTTCCTCCAAACTAAAATAATTGAAAACATAGATAGATCTAAAGGAGGGGGTGGATTTTCCTCTTCTTTTCTTTCCACATTAAAAGAAAATAAAGGCCTTCGTGATCACCAAATATGATTTGATCTCATGTTATACGAGTGATATCAAAGAAAATTGTCTGTTCATGAATTTATCCTCATTCCAACTGTATTGAACTAAATCTTAATTTTGGTGCCAAATTAAGAGTGACAAATCCACGATTATGTTAAATATAGTTCCATATCAATTAGCTTAAAAAAATTCCCTATTTAAATGGATTAAACCAACAATGACTTGTATGAAAACCTGAAGTGAAACCAACATGGGAAATCAATATACATACGTAAGATTTCTGGCCGATCAAGAGGGGATCGAAAAATAAGAAACAAACCTTACAACCGAGAGGATAATCTCCCTTCTGAGGCAACAAACTTGCACGAATATACCGGTTACCAACAGGTATTCTCCTCAGCACTTCTAACATCACGGCAATCGCATAATCAGGGACGTCCTCAGAAAAGGCAATGATAGCATTGGTGATGGAGAAACCACAGCGGCAACACGCTAACAAGTCAACGTGGCTAAGGCCAGCATAGGAACACACACTATTAGCTCCAGAGGGGAGAGAAGGTCAAGAATTTCTGGGGTGATGGGGGCAGGGCCTATACATGCATAGAAGCGCACTTAGGGATTGCATGGCTTGGGAAGAACGATAGAATTGGCTCAGGTGACTCTGATGGATCAATGCAGATCTGAACGCAGGATGCCTGTACACAAGGAGTAATATTAGGCAGTAGCTCTTCTGCTTTTGGTTCGGTGTTGTTTTCTAGTAGAGTTTCTTGATTTTCTTTGGCAGTCATTGATGTATTGGGGGAGTTGACTTTCGAAAGCTGGCGATGGTATTTCCTTTCTTCTTCTCAACGACGGTGATAATTGTGCCATTTTAAATTTAATGTTGTTGAATGCCCCGGTCGGTTCTTTCACAAATAAATAAATAAATCTTCCTGTGAACTTTTTGACTCAAATCGTCCTAGTCTTTTTACCAAGAGAAACCACAATACAAAGACATACCATCTGCGCTCCTCAGAATTTGGTACGCATCTATGGCTTCAATATGATTTCGACAAAAGTAAGGTATGTGACGTTTTATTCATATGTCAGCTACTTTTATAAATATAGAGTTCAACTGATTTATCTTAACGGATAGCAGGCCACACCCATAGAAATGGCTGTTCTTTTCACTCAACACCAATGATTGATTTATCTTCATCGATGTGAACACCGCATCCACTCATCGCATCCAATGTTAACGGCCAGCTATTTAAGCTGTCAGCACATCCTTGCCAATCAGAAAGCAACAGAGAAAGAGGACATCACTATCTGCAGCAAGGTCACAAACGTTGGCATACCGACGATATTGAAGACATAGTCATGGTGATACTGGTGAGGAATGAAGAAAACAACGGGAACTAGTATTTGATAATTTAGAAATTTTAATGTTGCATGATCTTTATAGATTTTTAGTGTATATTTTAGTTGATAAATTAGGATTTTAGTTTCCTTATTGAATAAGTACTTCTATGTATTAAGTTTTCCTAATTGATTTGTTTGGGTGCCTTCATAAACACCCAACATAGACATTTAGTTTTAACTTTGAATATTAGAGAATTGGTTCTCTTGTTTTTGTGGTCTTGTTTGTGGTTCTACACCAAGTATGGCTTCTCCTTCCTTGAAATGTAGGAATCATGATGTTACCAATTCTAAACTAATTTCAAGCTAGCATAATTCATTCAACACAATAGTTTCAAGCCAATCAATGGAGAAAAAGGAAATAAACCTTGAAACCAATTGGGTATCATCCTTCAAGGCCACAAGCCAGCACAGACAAACTGATCAGCAGCTGTTTCTTCCACAAGCCATCAATCAACAGCGCAGCAAAGTCAGCAATGTTCTCCATGAATAGCATTGATGATGATAATTCCAGGCAGTGGCACCCATGTAGAGTTAAATGACAGTCAGCAATGGACGAGCACTGGAGGGAGGCCCTCCTTTGATGGGACTTGGCGATTGGTGATGGGTCTCTTCATGTTGTTTTATGTCCCCAGCAATATTGGTGGTTGAACAAGTTGGTGCTTTTTATGTTTTTGATTTTCCTCCCCATTTTTTCCTAGACGAGATGTGCATGTTTTCATTTGATGGTGTCATCAGGTTAAAGCTACATTATGTAAGCCCATGTGCTCTGCAGTATTAAAAAAATCAAATGCAGTTATCTGCCTGCATTATTCATGCTCAATTGTTTCTCCCATAAATATTAGAGAGACATCTGTATAGAATGACACTTACCTCCAAAAGGATGGGAGAATCATGGCGTTTGAACTCAGATGGCTGGCACCGCTAGACATTCTATCCACTACCAAGGTTAAATGGAACTGGAAGAGCTAGTGCATGAGCTCCATTTGCTGCCTTATCCTGCACTATGAATTGAGCCTATATACTGTAAGATGGAAAGAGCCACAACATGTGTATGTGCATGCGTGTGTTCGAGTGTGTTTGTGGGGAGGGAGGGAGAGTGAGAGAGACATTGTTTTGATACTATAGAAAATTATTGAAGTAGTCGTCAACGCAATGTTGAAATGCACTCCTAAGCTCTTTATTGCCAAAAGTAAAGAAAGTTCAATTACAAGATCTTGATAGTATCTGCTAAATGATTTTGAAGAAACTGTATGTTGAAATCAACTCTTGATGCATTCATTGCCGAGACTAGAGACTGTTCAGTTACATGATCCTTATACTGATCTTTGTAAGAATTAAAGAGAAACAATGGACAGCTACATCAGTTGTTTTGGACCAGAGATACTAAAGGTCTGTTTGAAAAGAATGCCTTCAAGTTGGCAATTGCTACATCCTGTAATGCTTCAAAGGATTCTGGGGTCAAGACAGCACAATGTGGCGACAACACAACGTTATCAAGCTCACATAATTCTTTTGGCACATTAGGCTCATTCTCAAACACATCAAGACCAGCACCACCGAGTTCCCCTCGCACTAAAAAACCCACCAATTGCTTCTCATCAACAAGAGGTCCACGTCCAACATTAATTATCACCCCTTCCTTTCCCAAAGCTACCATAACATCCTTGCTAACTATATGTTGTGTCTCATCAGTCAGTGCACAACAAACAATGAGAACGTCACTATTAGCTGCAAGGTCAATAGCATTTTCATAATATGGAAACGAAACAGATGCTTTCTTCTTCCTAGAAAAGTAAGCAATGCTACACCCGAAGGCAGCTAGCCGTTTTGCAACTTCAGAGCCAATGCTTCCCAAACCCAAAATCCCAACTCTCTTTGCCCCTAGCTGCGACAACAAGGCATAAGCATTGTAAGAACCAACTACACAAATAGCATAACTTTCTCAACTATTCAACTGCAAATATAATTTTAGCGGGAAAAAAAAAGAGAAAGAAAAGGAAAAAAGATGATGATAAAACTTTTTGGCAAATTAAGTAATTAACCACATGCTTAACCCATTATTAAGACCCCATATATGCATTATTAAATGACACTTTCAATCTTTGCAACATGATTTTATGCGAGTTATTGTAATTTGTGATAAGGTTCACGTCCAACAATTTAACTTTAACAGACCAAAGTCACACACTGTCCAACTCAAACAACAATTTAACACTAATTTCAACAATCCCTCAAACATTAAAATATTTCAGACAAAAATCATTCAATTTTTTTTTCCTTGTTCAACCCCTTTGCTTCATTTCAATAACAACCAGAAGACCAGAAAGTAAAGAACGACAAGTAGTCCAGTGAAGCACAAACCTTGAAACCAAGTGGATAATCTCCATTAACAGGCCAAAACCCGCCTCTGACATATCGATCACTTGCAGAAACTCTCCTCAAAACACCAATTAACAGCGCCACAGCATAATCAGCTGCATCCTCAGAGAAGGCAGTGCCGGCATTGGTGACAGCGATGTTTCTTCGGCGACAATCAGCAAGGTCAATGTGATCAACGCCAGCACTGGTGCCCACAACGATTTGTAGAGAAGAGAGGTGGTTGAGGGTGTCAGAAGTTACGGGTGTGGGGCCTACACAGAGGAGGGCACGAATGGAGTGGAAGAGAGCGGGAGAGGTGGGTGGGGAGGTGATAGGGTCGAGGAGGTGAAAGTGGGTGAATAAGCGGGCTGCAATAGGGAAGTTGAAGGATGGGAGACGGTGGATTAGGACCGTAGGGAGGTCTATGTTCAGAGAGTTAGGGTTTTGGGCAGCCATTGTTGTCGCTTTGCAAAATGAAAGATTGTTTTGTGAAAGACAACAAGGGATTTGTCTTCTATAATGTGAGGTAAAGCTGAGCATTAAGCAAATGATTAATTTTACCGTAATCGACTATAAGACAAGTTCAAACTATATCTTAGTCCTTGTAGTTTCCGAAATGTCACAATGAGACACCTGTTGGTTAAAATTTATCTATATCAATTTTTTATTTATTATTATTATTTTTTTTAGAGAAAGAATTATAGGGATTCTAAAATAGTTCATATGGTTTCTTTTTTTCATTTTCCGAACAACTTATCATTTTAACATGAACATTACTGAATTCCCAAAGGGACGTTTCAATTCAAACTTAAGATCTTAAAATCAGAAAATCTTAAGAAATTTAAAATATTTGCAAGATTGCGGTAGGTATTTTAGACTTCAATTGAATTGGAATAAAAAAACATTTGGCTATTCTGTAGACATGTTTTTGTAACTTGTAAATGAAAAAAAATGGTGAATTTAGATGGCTCGATGTTGAAAATCGTGCCTTTAGAATATTAGTCAAAACTTAAAGAATTAGTAATTGAGAAGATTTGAAAGTTTAAAATAATGAATATAATGAGTCTTTTAATTCATATACTATTTTGGTATTGACTAATTCAAGAGTGAATCAGTTTTTAGACATAAAAAAAAAAAAAAAATAGTAAAACATTCATTCTTTTAATCCACCATGCAAATCACATTTTTAAGTACAAATTTTCATTTTGGTTAGAGATATTATAAGAAAACATGTGAATATATATATATATATATATATATATATATATATATATATATATATATATATATATATAATCATGTTTTAGGGTTTTATATCTCATATGTATAAATACTAATTGTAATCCATCATTACATATCAAAATAGAAAATTTCGTTACAAACTCTTTCATGATATCAAAACTATAGAAGATTTTAGGATCCATTAATCTCTAAAGTGTTGTTTGGTTATAAAAAATGAAAGGATCTAGAATGATAATGTAGAAATCGAATGAAAATGTAGGAATTGAAATGACATTGTTATTTCAATATCTTGTTTGGAATAGTAATAAAAACTCAAAATAAAATTAAAAATTTTAATACCTAGTTTTAAATAAGAATAAGAATAATTATTAAAAAAATAATTTTATCAATTATAATAGTAGTAAAAACTAATAGAGATTGATAATTAATGACGATAGTAGTAATGGAGGAGAAGGATGAGGTGGCGATGTTAATGATAGTAATAGTAGTATAGTAACATTAATAATATATTTCAAATAAATTGATGTCATCAACAATAGGAGGTGGCATTAGAAGACGAATGGTGATGGTGGTAGTTGAGAATGAATAGTGATAAGATAATAATAATAATAATTTGATTTTTTTTTTAATTACCATCGGCCACCACTAAAAGTAAGGGTCGTGGTGTTTGGAGATAGAAGTCATGATGGTGATAGAAGTAGTTGATATATAATAAACAAAAATAATTTACATCACTAATTTTGAAAAGAGAAACAAATTTCACTCTCATTTCTTTTTTTATTTCCATTTTTTCCATGAGAATAAAACTATATTTATTATGAAATAATTAATGTCCATATTCATTTCATATTTCTACTACTCATAATCCTTAATGTGATTCAACTCACCATTCAATATAAAAATTGAAAGGACAATGCATTTAATTAAATCATTTATGCACCTTTAATTGTTCATAATCCCTTTTAATTTCCTTTTTAGTATTGAAGCCTATAAATAGGCGTAACTATTCATTAGCATATAGTATGTTTGTTTTTGTAGAGATTGAGAGAGTTGTTTTGGAATTGTTATTTCATAGTAAATTTATTTTTCTATCATCTTTTTTCTAATTCTATTATTGTCATTATTTCTTTTATAACACATTATCAACACAAAGTTCTAACCAATCGAGATAATAGACCATAAAGTATGTATCTATTTAAAAAAAACTCAATCATTTGTTTCAAGCATTGGATTGTTTGGTGATGTTTGAAATAACTGTAAAGAATTTGGAAAGGTTTATGACTTTGTAAGGTGTTGTTTGAAAAAGACAGCCTGTGGAATTTATTTGATAAGCAAGAATTACATGGAGTGAAATCATCTGACTTGCTAAATGGCAAAGAAAACTAATTTACAATGTAGTACAGAGTTCAAGAATTGGGATGTCCCAATCTGCGATGCCACAAGTGTAAAGGAAATTGTTTGGTGATGAGATTGGACTGAGGATTTTGGCATGGTAGATGATGTCCTAAAGGCCATATTTATAATCCCTCCTTATTCTGGCCGCACACTAGTGGAGCTCCCGTTTTCAAATCCTTCACAAAAAATTTAGAGGGAAAGAATTCAATGGATGTGTGATTATCAGTGCAAAACTTAGAGATAGAGATTAAATTTTATTTGATAGCAGGAGCACAGAGAGTATTAGAGAGGTAAAATCTAGAATTTGATGCACAAAGTTGAACACTACCAGTATGAGAGATGAGAATTGTTTTACAATCACCCATTGAGATTTCTTCAAGTCTGCTATAATCTTGGCTATTTATGAGGCCTTGTGAATCAGGTGTAATATGATGAGAAGCACCCGAGTCGACAATCCACGGGGTGGTAGTGATGGAATTTGAACCAGCAACATAATTAGCTTTGGCCTCCAGATGATTATGAGATTTGGATCTACATACCCGGGCAGTGTGACCAAAACGGTCACATAATTGACATCTTACTCATGATTGTGGTGGGAAATTGGGGTTGAATCCAGCATGGGTGCGAGTTAGAGTTGGTGATTGACGCCATGATTGAGGGGGTTCCAACGTTTGTTGTTTTTGGAAGTGATGGTGGGAAAATGGTTCTTTTGAGCAACAGCAGCAGTGATGGTGGTTGTGCTCTTTTTAAGATCTTCATGTGTCAAAAAAAGCTTATGATCTAGAAGTTTATCATACAGTTCTTCATATGAAATGGGAGAGTCTCTAGCATGTATTGCAGCAAAAATTGCGTAAAATTATGGACCAAGACCACTTAGAATTTTGACAATGAGTTCGTCATTTGTAATGGATGCACCTGCAGTGGCTAGTTCATTTCCAAGAGATCGTTTTTCTCTAAGATAGTCTGTAATAGACTTGAAGTCTTTGAATATTTTGTTGAGGTGGTCATATAGACTAAAGTCCTGTGTCTGGGACCTATTGGAAAATGTTGTATGTAATGAATCCCATGCTTTCTTTGAGGTGGCAGCAGCGGCAATAGTTGTGGCAATGGTAGGATTTACTAATGCCATAAGTACATTTTGAATCAACCTGTCTTGACGAAACCATAGGCGATATTGAGGGTTCTCTGTCTCTCGGTTATTTGTGGTGATAGTTTGTGGTGGTGCAAGTTTGGACCCATCAAGATAACTATAAGTCATGGCCGTGCAGTAGCATTTCGAATTGAGCTTTCCAAGTGGTGAAGTGATGGCTGCCAAGCAGTTTGATTGGTAGTTGGGAGGCTGGGTTGAATTGGATAAGTTGACTGGAGTTATTTGTGACTGCCAAGTAGTCCATGACGTGTTGAAATTGTTGCAGGGAAGCGGGGGTGGTAAAAAAAGATTGGATCACTCCTTAAAGTTTTTGCAGAACTCTGATACCATAAAGATGTAGAGCATAATGTGAAAATGTGAAGCCTACTTTTATTGATTTGATGATGGCCTTTAAATACAAAAGAAATCATAATTGACTTCAAGAAAGCAGCTGAAATATTCAAATGATAAGATTAAACAAAACAAGAATAACAGTGGTGAAGGAAAAGTAACTGCAGTAGTTGCTTGTGGATGAGGACCAAGCAACTGCAGTGGTTACTTATGGATGAGGATCAATTATTTCTCCAATAATAGAAGTTTAGTATTTTTTTTTTACTAGTATTAGTTTATCGATTAATTAAAAAAAAAAACACCTAAATCAGTTTCATTTAGTGCTCATATATATATATATAAACATTGCAAATGAGGAGTTTTGATGAAAAAAAAATCTCATTAGCTTTTTCTGTTGAGTTTAAGATCCAAGGTATTTTAGATATATAATAACTTAGTTTAATCATATACAAGTCAACTGCCATAATTCTATTAATTTTGATGGAGGAAATCTAGCAAAATGATAGATTGGAACTCTAAAAATTATTTAGAGTAAATATATTTATTTGTTTTTATATAATACTCAAAGTTTCTTATACATTCCTAAGTCTTTAATTATATCTTATTTATTCCAAAAAATATTTAAAATGTTCAATTTATTATCTTAATCAATTTTTTTGATCGAAATGTTTTTGAGTGAAATACAAAATAATAATAATAAAATTTTAAAGATTTTAAAAATAAAACATGTAGGTTATGTGATTTTATATATTTATATATATTGGTTTAACAAAAAACTAGGATCGAAAAATTTAATCACAAAAACATATTGAACATTTTAAAATTTTTTAAAGACAAATAGAAATTAAAAATCTAAGGACGAGATAAGAGAATTTAATTATTATATAAAGACATAGACAAATTTACTCTCAACTTTTTTAAATACCGATTGAATGTAATCAAGCCTTAAGAATAGATTGGCCACAATTTTTAAACTATACAGATTGAATTTATTTATTTATTTGTCAAGGCAGGATCTTGTGCTGTATAAAAAGAAACCCACTACAGTTATGTACTTGCATTAAAAATGATAGCCCCATTACTTCCAAAACCCTGGGAAAGCATTATTAGATAAATGATATTAATTAATTGGTATTGCTTTCTTCAACGAGAACATTCTGATCAAGAGAAATTGCCTTATGTTGGCAGCTTCGAAAATGAAATTGCCACTCATGAGGAAAAAACCATTAGCATTCAAGGTTCTGAGATTTAAAACTTCACTTCAAAATTTTAAGGGCCCAAGCTCTTCGAAGGATGCTAAAAGTTTCCCACAAGAGTATATCAGGATTATATATATATATAGTCAAACTATTGTCGATATGTCCAGGCCAAAACCCACCAAATTCTCTTGTCGGCTACTTTCAGAAGTTATGTTTGCAGCAGACAATATGTGAACTAATTAAATAGTATGCATCACTAAATTGTTCCATCTACAAGTTCGAGAAAAGAACATAATACTTTCTTTACACTTTGTAGTCGTAAAAGAAAATCCTGTACTGTAAGCAGATGGTTAATATTATAGTTGCAAGATTTATTCAATATGGACAAGTGACATTAAAGGTTTATTTGAAAAGTAGGCCTTTAAGTTGGTTAGAATGAGCTGATGCACTGCGTCAAAGGAATCTGTTGTCACAGAATAACAATGTGGAGATAACACAACATTATCCAATGTAAATACCTCACTTGGCAAATTAGGTTCAGTTACCAATCTTTGCTTATAATTTTATTGGACCTTGAGTTAGCTCAACAAAACCAACAATTCATTTTAAGTTAGATCTAACGCTCGAAGACATCGTATGGCTCATGATTTGTTTTCTTAATCCGATCAAAACATTAGCGTTAACATAAAGCTCCAATTTAGAAAAAACTTCCCCATAAAATTTCTATATACGGATATCGCAATAAAGTATATAATTGCTGAACCACAACCAAATTAAGGAACCATAAAGAAAAAACTACACCACCCTTGCTTCAGCCAGCTATGGCGATCATTGGCAAAACCTTCGCCGCATTTACGCAATTGAAATCTTCTCTTCATCTCGCCTCAATGCATTTTTTTATGTCATTCGATAATTTTTTATCATTCTCCTCTTTCCCATGTCAATTTTGACTAGATTTAATGGCTTCCAATGCTCTAAATCCGACCGAACAATAATCAATCATTTCCGCACTCTTTATTACTTGATATTTTGACGTCTCCTTCTAGGATACTAATAAGTAGGAGTTAAGCTTCAGTTCTTCCAACTCTTTTAGTTATAGTTTCTTTTGTTCACCTACTTCATCCATTCTCATATTGCATTATTTGATTGCCCAAAACTTTTTATGTTCAATCTCCATCGAAAGATGACAAGTCTTCCCATAAACCAAGCAATAGGGAGCCGGATCTGCAGGAGGTCCGCGAGTCAACCCGCAGGAGACATGCGAGCTTCCACGCCCAACATCCTTGAGGGGCTACGAGAGGACATGCATGGGGCATGCGAGTCAACCCGCAAGGGGCATGCGAGCGGGCGCGCACCAAAATTCCAATTCAAATTTAAATGAGAGTCAGCAATCAGGTTAATCTCGTTTACATCTACGTTTCTCTACACTAAAGCTTCCGTACCAACACCCATTTAGGCTGCGAAAAACAGTACAAATGTCATAAATATATGTAACAGCAGGCACATGACCATTAGTCGAACCTGCACCAGCAATATTGCCTTGCAGTAAACATTGCACAAGCTCCTTCTCATTGATGAGGGCGACATTGATTATCATTACATCCTTTCCTAATTATTGCCATCATGACATCTTTGTTGATCACGAGTCGAGTTTCTTCTGTCAGTGCACCGCAAAGGATGAGAATGTCACTGTTTTCAGGAAGGTAGCGGACATTAGAGTAGCAACGAAATGGAACTAAAGGCTTTGGCTTCCTTGAGGTCTAGGCAATGCTGTAGCCAAGGCTGAAGCTTTTTTGCAACTTCAGTTCTTATTAGAGAGTAATATAAAATCATTCATAAAGTTTTATCTAACAATTTAAATTTTTGAATTTATATAGTTTTTTGACATGATATCAGAAATTTAACCGCTGAATAATCATGCGATTATCCAGTAACTCGTAGCCTTAGAATCCCAATCTGCTTTCCTCCAAACTAAAATAATTGAAAACATAGATAGATCTAAAGGAGGGGGTGGATTTTCCTCTTCTTTTCTTTCCACATTAAAAGAAAATAAAGGCCTTCGTGATCACCAAATATGATTTGATCTCATGTTATACGAGTGATATCAAAGAAAATTGTCTGTTCATGAATTTATCCTCATTCCAACTGTATTGAACTAAATCTTAATTTTGGTGCCAAATTAAGAGTGACAAATCCACGATTATGTTAAATATAGTTCCATATCAATTAGCTTAAAAAAAATTCCCTATTTAAATGGATTAAACCAACAATGACTTGTATGAAAACCTGAAGTGAAACCAACATGGGAAATCAATATACATACGTAAGATTTCTGGCCGATCAAGAGGGGATCGAAAAATAAGAAACAAACCTTACAACCGAGAGGATAATCTCCCTTCTGAGGCAACAAACTTGCACGAATATACCGGTTACCAACAGGTATTCTCCTCAGCACTTCTAACATCACGGCAATCGCATAATCAGGGACGTCCTCAGAAAAGGCAATGATAGCATTGGTGATGGAGAAACCACAGCGGCAACACGCTAACAAGTCAACGTGGCTAAGGCCAGCATAGGAACACACACTATTAGCTCCAGAGGGGAGAGAAGGTCAAGAATTTCTGGGGTGATGGGGGCAGGGCCTATACATGCATAGAAGCGCACTTAGGGATTGCATGGCTTGGGAAGAACGATAGAATTGGCTCAGGTGACTCTGATGGATCAATGCAGATCTGAACGCAGGATGCCTGTACACAAGGAGTAATATTAGGCAGTAGCTCTTCTGCTTTTGGTTCGGTGTTGTTTTCTAGTAGAGTTTCTTGATTTTCTTTGGCAGTCATTGATGTATTGGGGGAGTTGACTTTCGAAAGCTGGCGATGGTATTTCCTTTCTTCTTCTCAACGACGGTGATAATTGTGCCATTTTAAATTTAATGTTGTTGAATGCCCCGGTCGGTTCTTTCACAAATAAATAAATAAATCTTCCTGTGAACTTTTTGACTCAAATCGTCCTAGTCTTTTTACCAAGAGAAACCACAATACAAAGACATACCATCTGCGCTCCTCAGAATTTGGTACGCATCTATGGCTTCAATATGATTTCGACAAAAGTAAGGTATGTGACGTTTTATTCATATGTCAGCTACTTTTATAAATATAGAGTTCAACTGATTTATCTTAACGGATAGCAGGCCACACCCATAGAAATGGCTGTTCTTTTCACTCAACACCAATGATTGATTTATCTTCATCGATGTGAACACCGCATCCACTCATCGCATCCAATGTTAACGGCCAGCTATTTAAGCTGTCAGCACATCCTTGCCAATCAGAAAGCAACAGAGAAAGAGGACATCACTATCTGCAGCAAGGTCACAAACGTTGGCATACCGACGATATTGAAGACATAGTCATGGTGATACTGGTGAGGAATGAAGAAAACAACGGGAACTAGTATTTGATAATTTAGAAATTTTAATGTTGCATGATCTTTATAGATTTTTAGTGTATATTTTAGTTGATAAATTAGGATTTTAGTTTCCTTATTGAATAAGTACTTCTATGTATTAAGTTTTCCTAATTGATTTGTTTGGGTGCCTTCATAAACACCCAACATAGACATTTAGTTTTAACTTTGAATATTAGAGAATTGGTTCTCTTGTTTTTGTGGTCTTGTTTGTGGTTCTACACCAAGTATGGCTTCTCCTTCCTTGAAATGTAGGAATCATGATGTTACCAATTCTAAACTAATTTCAAGCTAGCATAATTCATTCAACACAATAGTTTCAAGCCAATCAATGGAGAAAAAGGAAATAAACCTTGAAACCAATTGGGTATCATCCTTCAAGGCCACAAGCCAGCACAGACAAACTGATCAGCAGCTGTTTCTTCCACAAGCCATCAATCAACAGCGCAGCAAAGTCAGCAATGTTCTCCATGAATAGCATTGATGATGATAATTCCAGGCAGTGGCACCCATGTAGAGTTAAATGACAGTCAGCAATGGACGAGCACTGGAGGGAGGCCCTCCTTTGATGGGACTTGGCGATTGGTGATGGGTCTCTTCATGTTGTTTTATGTCCCCAGCAATATTGGTGGTTGAACAAGTTGGTGCTTTTTATGTTTTTGATTTTCCTCCCCATTTTTTCCTAGACGAGATGTGCATGTTTTCATTTGATGGTGTCATCAGGTTAAAGCTACATTATGTAAGCCCATGTGCTCTGCAGTATTAAAAAAATCAAATGCAGTTATCTGCCTGCATTATTCATGCTCAATTGTTTCTCCCATAAATATTAGAGAGACATCTGTATAGAATGACACTTACCTCCAAAAGGATGGGAGAATCATGGCGTTTGAACTCAGATGGCTGGCACCGCTAGACATTCTATCCACTACCAAGGTTAAATGGAACTGGAAGAGCTAGTGCATGAGCTCCATTTGCTGCCTTATCCTGCACTATGAATTGAGCCTATATACTGTAAGATGGAAAGAGCCACAACATGTGTATGTGCATGCGTGTGTTCGAGTGTGTTTGTGGGGAGGGAGGGAGAGTGAGAGAGACATTGTTTTGATACTATAGAAAATTATTGAAGTAGTCGTCAACGCAATGTTGAAATGCACTCCTAAGCTCTTTATTGCCAAAAGTAAAGAAAGTTCAATTACAAGATCTTGATAGTATCTGCTAAATGATTTTGAAGAAACTGTATGTTGAAATCAACTCTTGATGCATTCATTGCCGAGACTAGAGACTGTTCAGTTACATGATCCTTATACTGATCTTTGTAAGAATTAAAGAGAAACAATGGACAGCTACATCAGTTGTTTTGGACCAGAGATACTAAAGGTCTGTTTGAAAAGAATGCCTTCAAGTTGGCAATTGCTACATCCTGTAATGCTTCAAAGGATTCTGGGGTCAAGACAGCACAATGTGGCGACAACACAACGTTATCAAGCTCACATAATTCTTTTGGCACATTAGGCTCATTCTCAAACACATCAAGACCAGCACCACCGAGTTCCCCTCGCACTAAAAAACCCACCAATTGCTTCTCATCAACAAGAGGTCCACGTCCAACATTAATTATCACCCCTTCCTTTCCCAAAGCTACCATAACATCCTTGCTAACTATATGTTGTGTCTCATCAGTCAGTGCACAACAAACAATGAGAACGTCACTATTAGCTGCAAGGTCAATAGCATTTTCATAATATGGAAACGAAACAGATGCTTTCTTCTTCCTAGAAAAGTAAGCAATGCTACACCCGAAGGCAGCTAGCCGTTTTGCAACTTCAGAGCCAATGCTTCCCAAACCCAAAATCCCAACTCTCTTTGCCCCTAGCTGCGACAACAAGGCATAAGCATTGTAAGAACCAACTACACAAATAGCATAACTTTCTCAACTATTCAACTGCAAATATAATTTTAGCGGGAAAAAAAAAGAGAAAGAAAAGGAAAAAAGATGATGATAAAACTTTTTGGCAAATTAAGTAATTAACCACATGCTTAACCCATTATTAAGACCCCATATATGCATTATTAAATGACACTTTCAATCTTTGCAACATGATTTTATGCGAGTTATTGTAATTTGTGATAAGGTTCACGTCCAACAATTTAACTTTAACAGACCAAAGTCACACACTGTCCAACTCAAACAACAATTTAACACTAATTTCAACAATCCCTCAAACATTAAAATATTTCAGACAAAAATCATTCAATTTTTTTTTCCTTGTTCAACCCCTTTGCTTCATTTCAATAACAACCAGAAGACCAGAAAGTAAAGAACGACAAGTAGTCCAGTGAAGCACAAACCTTGAAACCAAGTGGATAATCTCCATTAACAGGCCAAAACCCGCCTCTGACATATCGATCACTTGCAGAAACTCTCCTCAAAACACCAATTAACAGCGCCACAGCATAATCAGCTGCATCCTCAGAGAAGGCAGTGCCGGCATTGGTGACAGCGATGTTTCTTCGGCGACAATCAGCAAGGTCAATGTGATCAACGCCAGCACTGGTGCCCACAACGATTTGTAGAGAAGAGAGGTGGTTGAGGGTGTCAGAAGTTACGGGTGTGGGGCCTACACAGAGGAGGGCACGAATGGAGTGGAAGAGAGCGGGAGAGGTGGGTGGGGAGGTGATAGGGTCGAGGAGGTGAAAGTGGGTGAATAAGCGGGCTGCAATAGGGAAGTTGAAGGATGGGAGACGGTGGATTAGGACCGTAGGGAGGTCTATGTTCAGAGAGTTAGGGTTTTGGGCAGCCATTGTTGTCGCTTTGCAAAATGAAAGATTGTTTTGTGAAAGACAACAAGGGATTTGTCTTCTATAATGTGAGGTAAAGCTGAGCATTAAGCAAATGATTAATTTTACCGTAATCGACTATAAGACAAGTTCAAACTATATCTTAGTCCTTGTAGTTTCCGAAATGTCACAATGAGACACCTGTTGGTTAAAATTTATCTATATCAATTTTTTATTTATTATTATTATTTTTTTTAGAGAAAGAATTATAGGGATTCTAAAATAGTTCATATGGTTTCTTTTTTTCATTTTCCGAACAACTTATCATTTTAACATGAACATTACTGAATTCCCAAAGGGACGTTTCAATTCAAACTTAAGATCTTAAAATCAGAAAATCTTAAGAAATTTAAAATATTTGCAAGATTGCGGTAGGTATTTTAGACTTCAATTGAATTGGAATAAAAAAACATTTGGCTATTCTGTAGACATGTTTTTGTAACTTGTAAATGAAAAAAAATGGTGAATTTAGATGGCTCGATGTTGAAAATCGTGCCTTTAGAATATTAGTCAAAACTTAAAGAATTAGTAATTGAGAAGATTTGAAAGTTTAAAATAATGAATATAATGAGTCTTTTAATTCATATACTATTTTGGTATTGACTAATTCAAGAGTGAATCAGTTTTTAGACATAAAAAAAAAAAAAAAATAGTAAAACATTCATTCTTTTAATCCACCATGCAAATCACATTTTTAAGTACAAATTTTCATTTTGGTTAGAGATATTATAAGAAAACATGTGAATATATATATATATATATATATATATATATATATATATATATATATATATAATCATGTTTTAGGGTTTTATATCTCATATGTATAAATACTAATTGTAATCCATCATTACATATCAAAATAGAAAATTTCGTTACAAACTCTTTCATGATATCAAAACTATAGAAGATTTTAGGATCCATTAATCTCTAAAGTGTTGTTTGGTTATAAAAAATGAAAGGATCTAGAATGATAATGTAGAAATCGAATGAAAATGTAGGAATTGAAATGACATTGTTATTTCAATATCTTGTTTGGAATAGTAATAAAAACTCAAAATAAAATTAAAAATTTTAATACCTAGTTTTAAATAAGAATAAGAATAATTATTAAAAAAATAATTTTATCAATTATAATAGTAGTAAAAACTAATAGAGATTGATAATTAATGACGATAGTAGTAATGGAGGAGAAGGATGAGGTGGCGATGTTAATGATAGTAATAGTAGTATAGTAACATTAATAATATATTTCAAATAAATTGATGTCATCAACAATAGGAGGTGGCATTAGAAGACGAATGGTGATGGTGGTAGTTGAGAATGAATAGTGATAAGATAATAATAATAATAATTTGATTTTTTTTTTAATTACCATCGGCCACCACTAAAAGTAAGGGTCGTGGTGTTTGGAGATAGAAGTCATGATGGTGATAGAAGTAGTTGATATATAATAAACAAAAATAATTTACATCACTAATTTTGAAAAGAGAAACAAATTTCACTCTCATTTCTTTTTTTATTTCCATTTTTTCCA